CAACATCCTGCTGCTGTGAAACGGTTACACAACAGTCCAACTCTTTCCATACTTCTCTGTGAACAAGTAAAAGCACGAGGCAAAGATGGTTTTAGAGCTAAAATTATTAGTGGACTGGGATTTGTTCTCAGAAAAACAAAATCTAGCTTCACCCTCAGAGCTTAGTGTGTATAAATGTTGGATTATTTTGTCAGCTTATCTTTTGCAGTTTTAAAATAATCTGCATGAGCCACTGATGATGAACAAAAACACAAAACAAGCCGTGCTTTAGCGTCACTTGTAACTCGTAAACTGGATTTCACAAAAGCTCAACTTTAGCACTGAATATTGACACAAACTGACGTCCAAATCTTCACTGAGCTGCTCTCGCTCCAGATCTTCACAGCAGATCATTTGCCTCCTCCTCATTCTATCCCAGCATCCTCCTTTGTCACATCATCACCCTCCATCCATGGACCTCCTCTGTGATCAATCCCTCCCCCCAGCAGCTTCACATTCAATTTCCTTTGTTCACAACATCCCACTTTATTTATAAAGCACTTAAAAAAAACATCAAGGCCAAACAAGCAAAGAACAAACATAAAATACAAAGATCCACAGAGGTGAAGATAAGAAACTACATGACTTCAAATACAGAGAAGTTAAAATCAACACACTGTGTCAAAAGCCAGAGAATAAAAGTTTTTATATGAGACTTAAAAAACAATGAGGGGGGGCCTGCCTGACCTGCAGTGGTAACTCAGTCCACAGTCTTGGACAGAGAAGGTTCTGTCACCTCTGAACTTAAAACGAGTGACTGGAACCAGTAAAAGCATCTGGTCTGCAGACCTCAGAGGGCGCTGGGGGAGATATGGCTGCAGCAGATCAGCGAGACAAGATGGGGCAGAACTGTTCAGAGATTTAAAAAACATACAGGAGGATTTTTAAATGAATTCGGAAGTGAACCGGGAGCCAGTGAGGGGAGGCCAGAACTGGAGTTATGTGCTCTCTTTTGTCTGCACCAGTTAAAAATCGGACAGCAGCATTTTGAACCAGTTGTAAACGTGCAGTGAAAGTCTGATTCCAAACTGTAATCAAACCTGCATGTTATGAAAGCATGTATCACTGTCTCAAGATTACTTTTGGGCAGTCTGGGCTTGAATTTAGACAGACGCTCGACTGTTTAGTCTCATGAAAGGGTCCATTATTACTCCCAGATTAGTGACTACTTGTTTCTCTAACGGGGCTAGAGAGGAAAGGTCGATACTTTGGTTCTTGATTTTGCCATTGGGTTGAAACAACATGACTTCTGTCTTATTACAATTTAAGACATTTAAAGCCATCCAGTCCCTGATGTCAACCAGGCAGTCAAGAAGAGGTTGGATAGAAAGTGCAATATCCACTATCCTTCCTCTGCACATGTCCCGACCATCTCAGCTGCTCCAACGTTGTCTTAGCGGTCCGTCTGATGTAATTCTGCTACAGGCGCCAGCGTTAGGAAACACTTCACATACCGTGTGCAGTTACTCATGTTCTGATACCACGGACAAGCCGAGTTCAGCTCAATGAAGCGTTCAGTTGGTGGAGAAGCCATGTCAAGGCAAACATGAAGTTACTTTGGGTTAGAAAGTTTTTCAAACATTGTTTATCTCAAATTTCTTTTTTAATAAATCATTTTTTTCTATAAATATCAAAGTATCTACCGTATCTCTACCCATCTACCAAATCCATCCGTCCGTCCATCCATCATTCATTTTTGGTGAAGTTTTTGTTAACAGGCTTATTTTGATTCTAATTAACATAAATTTTGTTGGAACTGGTTAAATGTTTAACTGGAAGTTCAACAAATTACAAAAGGTGTAACGACATTTATTACATGTATCAATGCTCTGTGTCAGCAAGATTTCAATTGTACGTACTTGTACTTTATTTAAAAAATGGAATTACTGCACCCTTAGTAATACTTTTTAATTCTGTCTAAAAATGGCAACATATTCTTCCGTTATGTTTTCATCTCTGCTTCCTGTCCATCATTAAAGCCACCTTCTCAATGTCATCTTTTAAACACTTCCTTCTTTTAAATATTTGAAAATATTGTCAAATTTGCTTAATGATATTTGAAATTAACTAATAGAAAAAGTTAATCCATCCAGCATCTTTACACGCTTCTTCCTTTTCGAATCATGGGGGTCACTGGTGCCCATGTCCTGCAGTCACTGTGCGAGAGGCGGGGGACACCCTGGACATGTCTCCAGTCCCTCATAGAGACAAACGAGACAAACAACCATTCACTCTCTCTCACCTAGAGACACTTTAGAGTTAGACAGTCTAACATGCATGTTTTTGGTCTGTGGGAGGAAACTGGAGTACCTGGAGAAAACCCACGCATGCACGGAGAGAACATGCAGACTCCACCCAGAAAGGCCCCAGCCGGGATTCCAACTAGCAACCTTCTCGCTGAGAGGCAGTAGCTCTACCAACTGATCCACCGTGCTGCTGATAGAACTTTGAATTTTAAAATAAAACAGGCATTTAAAGGATTCATTTTAAACTAAATGTAGGGAAGTATAATTTTGGGAGTTTGGCAGCTACAGGAAACTGCAGCTCACATTAGGCTCAGAGGACGAGGAAACTCACGGTAAAAAATGTCAGTTTTTATTCCTCGGTTGACTATCTGTGAATGTGGTCGGACATTATCGGAGGGAAACCAGAACAGGTCGAAGCAGAAAACATTTCTATTAAAGTCTGTTTATGTTCTCCTTCATACCGCAGCAGTGCATCCATGTCTGCTCGTCCCCCGACACCTCTTTGAAGTCGTGTCCTGCGAGGTTACTCACTCCAGAAATAGGTCTACCATATCTAACTGCTAGCATCATTTTGTCTCACAGTAGACCTTCAGAAGCTTTAAAGCACATGGGTAACTTCTGACATGACTGAGCATGATCCTCTGATGCGTGACAGGCAGGGCAGACGGCGATCGCATCTGAAGAGGTCCGGCGCAGATCTGGGACAGTGAACGCATCACATGTGACCTGACTGCAAAACCTGTACCAACTGGGATCCCTCATTACCAAAGAAATAAATATACAGCACACTGACAAGTGGCTGGATGCCCCCGAAGAACGCCCCGTTATTTCTAAGAAGGTCAAAGTTAATTACTGCGAGTTGCTCTTTTCACAGAGGAAGAACAACGAAAGATTGTTTATCTGGAATGTTTTCACAAATAAAAAAGGTTACTTGAGTCGCAAACCTGAAGTTGTTAAATACATAATTAGTCCCAAACACCTGATCGCTGAACACTAGGTTTTTAAATTACTGATGTGATGCGTGTCATCGATAATTAGTCAATTAGTTGAGTAATAATAAATAAAATATTAAGTTCAATACATTAAAGTAAAAAAAAAAAACAAGTTTTGCCTTCACAAACTCAAAAAATATATATTTTTGTGACCTTGTAAATGCTAATTGGGTAACTGATTTATAATTGATTTGGTTAATAGATTCCTTTAGGGAGAAAGAAAAGAACAAAACAAAATGAGCATTTAGAAGATTGAGTAATAAATCTCTCGGCCTCAACAGAAAATGATCCTGGAAGTGGGCTGTTGTGTGTCTGAATGAATAAATAATCATTTCTGAGATTAAAAAAAAAATAATAAAGAAATTGAAAATGCACTGTGAATGTTTATTGCTGAAAAACTTGCTGAAAAAACAGCTGAAATTAGCTAAAAACGTGAAATGTAGCTAAAATGAAAGAACAAGCCTAAGTTAGCAGAAGAAAGCAGAACATATTTGCTGAATTATGTTTAAATAATCAGAAATGAACATAACAATTAATAATTTAGCTAAAACAGCTGAAAAGTAACTGAACAGGCAGAAGGAAGCTTAAACTACCAGAAGAAAGTGGAAGAAGCTGGAATGAGCCAAAACAATGTGGAATTAGCTGAAAAAGCAACATTTAGAACAGAAACAACTAAAAGGTAGCTGAAATAGCAGAAAAAAGCTGTAATTTGCTGAAAAAAGCTGAAATGAGCATAGCAAGCTGAAAATACCAAAATTGCATTTCAAGCGAAAATGCAGTGTGAATCCTTATTGCAAAATAACTTTCTGATAAACAGCTGAAATCGGCTAAAAAACATTCTGAAATGCAACTGAAATGGAAGAACAAGCCTAAGTTAGAAGAATAAATCAGTATGGAGACATATTTACTGAAGTAGGTTCATTAGAGCAGAAATGAGCACAAAAATTGAGAAATTAGCTTAAAAAAATAAATAAATTGGCAACAAAAAAAAAAAAAAAAAAAAAAAAATAGCTGAACATGCAGAAAGCAGCATAAACTACCAGAAGGAACTGAAAGAAGCTGACATGAGATAAAAAAAAAATGTGAATTACGTGAACAAGCTAAAAACAGCATCAAGACAACTAAATTTACCTAAAATAGCATAAATAAGTTGAAAGGAGCATAACAAGCTGAAATTAGTAGAAAGAAGTTAGAAGAAGCAGAAAAAGTTATAGTTAGACAAAAAAAAATCTGAGAGGAGAAGAAATTAGCTGAAAGCAGCTGAAAAAAATATTATATTTGCAGAAGGAAGCTGAAAGAAGCTGAAGCAGAACAAAATGTGAAAGGAGCAGTAAAAGGTTGTAAACACATCTAAAGATCTGAAGGCTGTAAAATGAGCTCAATTCATTTTCTATGATGGAAAAAAAATGGCAAAAGGCTAAATATTTCAATAAGCTAAAGTTGCAACAACACCAAAAGTCACAGCAGGATTGTCCTGAAAGAGCTGAAGGTTTTGATTCATGATTTGTTGAAATAGATGAAAACTGCAGGATGAGTACCGAGCCGAAACATGTACGCAAGAAAAATGGATGACGGTAGACAGAATGCTTCACAAACATTCACACAATGAAAAACCCTCTGGAAAAAACTTAACTTGCATCTCAAGAAATCAACTTAAAAAGCATAAAGCTTAAAAGCTTAATTTCCCCTTGAATAATAAAAAGAAGTAAAGATTTAAACGTACAGGTTTTGCGTGCCGAGTCCTCCACGAACAGAGAAGAGATGTCCTCGTCCACACCAGCCTCATTTCTGGCAATGCAGGTGTAAGCGCCGGTGTCTTCGAAGTGCACGTTGCTGATGTGCACCTCACTTCCATTTGCTGTGAGGAACAACAGAGACCGAGAAAAGACAAATAAGAGTCACTGGCAAGAGACTTGCTGTTTCTTAGTCTTTTGGTAAACTTGCACATAAATATATTTATTTTTAACTGTTTGAAAGGAGGATGACGTGTTTGTTTCATTAACAGTTCAACAAGGCTGAAGTTTAAACTAAGAAGGTGGCAAATGTTTCTGTGAGGTTTAATTTGAAAAACAAACTGCTTGTCAGATATTTTCAGCTAAAATCTTGAACTGAAATGTAAAAATGATTAAATTTTGCCAAAATGACTAACTTATCTAAGAAAATTGTAGTTGGTAAGAGACTTGTTTGTTTGTTTCCCCCCTCATCTGGTTATTATAACCACAAGGTCTCAACTAGAAGGCAAATAAAATGTATTTAAAGCCAGAAATTAGGATAACAATGCCACTATATGAACACTATTTGTATCAAAGCCCTAGTTATTTAATATTCACTGTATACTTGTTGTAATATTTGCAGATTAGAGCAACAAGACTTGTTGCTGTTGTTTCCTCAAATAATGAAAAGCTTTGATTCCACTGTAACGGACTGTTTTTCTAATTTCATGTTTTATAATGCAAACAGTGATAAATCTGCAATAAGCCAAAAACACACAACTCCTGACTGAAGCCAAACAGCTCCAGTGTTGTTTGATCAGTCTCAGAAACTTCTCCCAGAGATTTTAAGACTGTTCAACATGAATCTGCAGTTGTATGTGCAGGTTTAACAGTTGAATACTTCTGGGTCTTTGATCACGGAGCCCATCATGATTCAAATGCAACACATCAGAAAATGTTTTGCCTTGACCTTAGAGCTTAAGTCAAAGGTTTTGGAAAGTTTCCATGGATCTATTTCTACAACTCACAACATATGTATGATCAAGCTGGGGTTGCATTTCCTCTTGCATCCATGTCCTGGCAGATTGGATCACATGGACCTTATACTTTGTGTCAGTTGGTCACAACATGAAGCTCCTTGGATATGATCTTATAGCTTTTACCTTTAACTTGGACATTACAAATGTCCTGTTTGAGCTCCTCAGGCAGCGCATACGTTTGATTTCTATGCGTCATCGTACCCAGTGGCACGGTGGTTTCCTGTAAAATGGTCGATGGAAAGCTTGATGTCACCAGTGATCCTCAATGGGGACAAACACTGAAGTAAAACCTGAACTTGCTGGGTTTGGGGCTTTCATGTACGCAACAGAGTATTTTTTTGACACAGGACCTTTTGTAAATCCAGTTTTCTGAGTAGAAGTTTTTGTAAAAGCCCATCGATGGTGTGGAACAGCACATGCACACTACGGACAGCTGCAGTAACGATGGCAGACAGCAAAGTGAAGTTTGTGCTGCTAACTCTTCTACTTTTCAGAGCTTCTGACGAGGAACACATGTGCTGCATCGTCTCGTGTCAGCAGAGAAGCATTGTTCACATTCTATGACTACTGAACAGGCCTGTAACTGTTTTTATGCTTAAGACTATCAGGTCTGTGTGCAATCATGAGGTCTGAAAATACAAAAAAAAAAAAAAAAAAATCAGTCCAAAGAAATGACCTGGTATGGAAACGGCAACAGTGATTGATTGTGATCAATGCCTTGCGTGTGAAGATGTAATGTTTTCACAATCAGCTTAAGAGATCCTGAAGGAAACAGTGTCCAAGTTTGAAATATGACTAATATGAAGAATACTAATAGTGTATTTATGATTTCCAATACATTTATTTATACTATTTTAACATATGGTTGTAAAATGAGTTAATTTTTTTAAGGCATAAAGATATACATTTAAAAAACTGCTTTTAATTGAACCTCTCTTACTGATAAATACCATACCAATTTATTTATAGAGCACTTAAAACAGCAACAAGGCCAACCAAAGTGCTGTACAAAATACATAAACAAGCACAGCAGACAGGAAAACATAAAATAAAAGTATAGATACAAATATCAGTGGATAATAACTAAATGGCCGACACTAGACTACAGACAGGACCAAAACAAATCACAGCGTGTCAAAGGCAAGGGAATAAAAGTGAGTTTTCAGGAGAGACTTAAAGAGTGAGTGTGGGAGCCTGCCTGACACGCAGTGGCAACTCATTCCACCGTCTTGGACCTGCAACAGAGAAAGCCCTGTCACCTCTGAGCTTGCAACAGGTTTCAGAAATTAAAAGGAGCATCTGGTCTGCTGACCTCAGAGAGTGTGGTGGGACATATGGCTGCAGAAGATCAGTGAGATAAGATGGGGCAGAACTGTTCAGTGATTTAAAAACACATGAGTATTTTGAACTGGATCTGAAAGTGAATGGATATCCAGTGCAGTGAGGCCAGAACTGGAGTAATGTGCTCTGTATGGCCTGTACCAGTTAAAAATTGGGCTGCAGCATTTGGACCAATTGTAGATGTGCAACGGAGGATAAAAGAAGCATGCAAGCAACTCCATCGAACAGAATTACTGCATCTTTTTGCTACTTTAGTACTTTTTGTTAATCTGATTGTGTCTTGTTAAAATCAGTGCATTGCCTGTTTATTACAACGTAAACACCGGTTACAGTTTCACTTTAAAAACACTAAAGTATTTATGGAAAAACACCTCGTTATCATTTCTTTCTAAATTTTTTTAGGGTTGACTTACACAGCAGTAGCCAGGACTAATTTAACAAAACAACTGTTTTAACGGTTTATTCAAACATAATTTACCTTTTGTAGACATTTGACTGCAAAATAATTTAGTTTATTTTTCTTCCTGTAAATAAGATTTAGCCTTTTGTTTTTACTTTATCCCAGTCGTTTATTAAACATTCAGATTTTGATGTTGTAGACAAAATATTGTCACTCTCTGTGATAATGGGGGAAAAAAGTAGTAAAGATCAAGCATGTGGCAGTTAATTAATTTACCTTGCAGGGTGAGTTGTTTGGACAGCTTGGTTTTAATGTCCATGCCGTTCTTGAGCCAGGACAGTTGTGGAGCGGGGATGCCCTCAGCGTGGCAGCGCAGGCTGGCGGTCACACCCGGCTCCCTGGCTTGGCTCTCTGGATGAACTCGAATGACTGGAGGAACTTGAAGGTAGAGAAAAAAGACTTGATTTAAAGAATAATCATGAACTTAATCCATTACTATCCTGAGTCATGCTAAATAATCCAGGTAGAAAAATCCAACAAAGTGAAGTCAGGTCCTCTGGATGTTTATTTTTGTTGAAATGTTTCATCTTTCATCCAAAAGACTTCTTCAGTCCAAGGAGCCACAACAAACTCAGTCTTATAAATGGCACCTTCACATAGTGGGTCAACCAGATTTATGGTGCTAAACTGGTTTCTGGAGCTTGAGGCAGTCGTGGTCAAAGTGGTTTCTGTCTACAAAAGAAACCATCCAGAGGAGCTGACTTAACTTTGTTGCATGAATCCATTCCTGTTTACATCAGCACCGGAGAAGTTGGTAAACCTCAAAGAACAAGAAGTTTTGGGTATGAAAAGTCCTGAACCTCTGACTCCGCATTAGCATATGCTATCAATAGTTTCGAGTGCGTTTGCAGAGCTGCTGAACATCTTTAGATAAGGTTAATGTGTTGCCTCGAAACTGAACACATCGGACAGATAAATAAATGAGCAAACGACTGTTCTGATATTGATGTTTGCCTGGTGGCAGTGATTTTCTGTAAACTTTTGTTAGAAGAGAGGTTTGAGACTAAAACCAGAAAATAAATAAAAGTGGGTGGAAACAGAAAAGGCACTAACTAAATGAAAAGCCGACTTTACATATTTTGTGTACCAGTGTTTATGTGCCCTACTCTACCCGCAAGGAAAAAACAAAAATAAGCATTCTTCATATTGTACTTCCAAACCCCACAAATTATCATAAATCAATAATCCACAGAAGTACATAATATGTATTTATGCATTGGCTGAGAATATGCCACAAGTTTTGTGCTACACCCAAGGGCTAACCAATCAGATTATTGGTCTAGAAAACATATAAAAAAACGTAAATTTGAATAATCCTTTACACATGCTTATTCTAAATACCGTAACAATGATAAAACCTTTAAAAAAAAAAAAGAAGCTATCCCAGAGAAACTGCGACTGAAACTTGGACAATGAAATATTTAGAGATGAGTTAAAAAGAAGAATGACTAAACTTATCACAACCACCTGGCAGCAGTTTCAGTCAGTGCATCAAACATCACTCCTGTTTGGAGCGATCCCTTTTGCACCTCAGTGGCCCAAATTGGTGTCCTCCTTTTTTATTTTCCCTTTTTGAAACAGTCTTCAGATGCAGGAGCCGAGGACGGAAGCGAGAGTTTTGGCAGAGGCAGAGAAGGCAGACATACTGTAGAGAGCATTTCCTGCGGGTACATGGTTACAGGAAGTTTTTACTCAGCCAGGTGAGTGAAAGGACTGAAGATCGCTGCCATGGCCATCTGGTAATCACAGCACACGGGGGTTTTGGAGTTCCTGTCATCCTTACTGCCAACGCACAGTCCACAGAGGACCATGAGGGTTCTTAACTCAGGTTTCATACCAATCAAAGTCACATAGGCTCTTCAGATACGTTGATGCCTCTCAGCAGTAACAACGCTGCTTGAATAAAACCCATGCAGGCAATTATTCTGCACCGTCCTCTGAGCATAGATTATCATTCCCATTTAATGACACATCAGCAGAGGACTTAATGGTTCACACCGAACGGTTGTAGCAAAACAAGTATTTTAAAATGTTTCTTTTTGTGTTTCAAAATCTAGCTTTGTGATTATGATCAATCTGTGTAAATGGACCAATCTTACACCGGTAGTTAAAATAAAGACAAACTTTAGGGTAAGGTTTAAAGATGAAACGCACTCTAATGGTTCTGAAATTATTACTCAAATAAAATTGTTTGGTGGCCTCAGGATTCCATCTCTGCTCTTTGCAGATGATGTGGTCCTGTTGGCGTCATCATGCCGTGATCTTCAGCTCTCACTGGAGCGGTTTGCAGCCGAGTGTGAAGCAGCTGGGATGAGAACCAGCACCTCCAAATCTGAGGCCATGGTCCTCAACCGGAAAAGGGTGGATTGCTCTCTCCAGATTGAGAGTGAAGTTCTGCCTCAACTGGAGGAGTTCAAGTATCTCAGGGTTTTGTTCACAGTGAGGCAAGAATGGAGTGTGAGATTGACAGATGGATTGGTGCAGCATCTGCAGTATTGCGGACACTGTACCGGTCTGTTGTGGTGAAAAGAGAGCAGAGTTGTAAGACAAAGCTCTCTGTTTACCGGTCGGTCTACGTTCCTCCCCTCACCTCTGGTTATGAACTCTGGGTAGTGACTGAAAGAAAGAGATCGTGGATCCAGGAGGTTGAAATGAGTTTCCTCTGCAGGGTAGCTGGACTCACCCTTAGAGACAGGGGGAGAAGTTCAGTTATCAGGAGAGACTCAGAGTAGAACCACTGCTCCTCCACATCGAGAGGAGCCAGTTGAGGTGGCTCGGGCATCTGCTAAGGATGCCCTCTGGACGTCTCTCTAGGGAGATGCTTCAGGCATGTCTGACTGGGAGGAGACCCCGGGGAAGACCCAGGACACGCTGGAGAGACTACGTCTCTTGTTTGACCAGGGGACACCTTGGAGTCCTCCCAGAAGAGTTGGAAGAGGCTTTGGAGAGAGATGTCTGGACTTCCCTGTTCAAGACGCTGCCCCGAGACCTGACTTCAGAAGAAGAGGAAGATGATGGACGGATGAATGTATGGATGGATGGATGAGCAGCTCAACAGTGATAAACAGAACTCTGCTGGATTTCTTACTCTTGGTTTATTCAGGGTGATGTAAGTTGTTTGAACTCAAAAAGAGTTTCTACTCCTATTTTATACACACATCAACTAATTGATTATTCAAGGACAACAAGCAACTAATTATGAAAGTTGTGTCGTTTTGGAGCCCAGCTGACGACGAACAGTAACATTTTACAAATGCTATTTTACTGGTTAGACAAGCGGGACGTGCATGATTTATCCAAACTTTAGCTGGTCCAGAATCCTTTGAGTTTGAATTTCTAAAGTCAGAGCAACAAATGTCCCAGAGTACTTTAGTACTAAAGTACTTTAGTACACAATAACTTCCTTTTTATTAGTTAATGCTGAAATGTAAACTGGGCGGGACGATGGTGCAGTTGGCAGAAGTGTCGTCTCTCAACAAGAAGGTTCTCTCTGAGCTACATGGTTTTTCTCCAGGTACTCCAGACTAAAAACATGCATGTTAGGCTGATTGGTGACTCTGAATTGTTCCTAGATGAGAGAGAGAGTGAATGGATGAAGTGGCGGGTAAAAGATAATGGATGGATGATTTGTAAAAAATGAAAATATTTTCCTTTAATAAACGTATGTACTGAGTAAACAGTGTGGTGTTTAAAAAAGATCTCATTGTTATATAAAAAAATAAAAAATAATCCTAACTTCTGTTTAGAAATGAAGCAAATCTCCATGCAACATTTATCATTGTTGAATTTTTCTACTGCTTTTTGGACAAATATCAAATTTAAATATCTAATTTATGATTGCATAAACTAGATATATAAATTTGATATTATATATAAATTTGATATTGACTGTTGTCATTTACAGCACCGACGCTCGCAGGGCTTAAACTTGCAGCCACATTTTTTCAGCGTTGTAATTCCCTCCGGCTGCCCAGAGAACTCAATAAAGGTCATTACTCAGTTAAAGATTCATTATTCAAAAGAAGCTCATGTCGGTGAATCCCCTCTGTTGACGAGGAATGTGGGAAAAAAGAAGTGAACATCTCTATGCTGCTGCAGCTCCAACCGGTCTCTGATGGGTTAACACGGTGCTCTGAATGATTGAATCCTCCTCAAAGGTAAAACAATTAGAATGAATAAGCAAGTTGGTCTATTTGGCTGCCAAAAAGCAATAATCTCATGAGAATAAGGAAAATAATTTAGCATTCAAGTTCTTTTTATCTCCAAAGAGCAACCATCAATAATTAAACAAGTGGATAAAACTATATAAACTAAAATGATTCTTTCAAAAATAGTAAAATGCAGTTTCTGTGTTTCAGGTGTGAAAGAAATGTTTAATAGGACACAAGTTTCTTGTGTACTTTTTGTGCATCTCATCACGAAGTAAGTAAAATAAAATTTGGTATTGGGACATTACATAAAGTTCATAAGGTATTAGTTTCAACATTTTAATCTAAATAACTGTTTGAGGATCGTACTAATCCAACATTAAAAGCCAGGTGCCCTCATGGTTAGACTCTTGTTAAATATAAATACCATTTTTAAATAACAATTACACGCCAGAAGGGATGAGCTACAAAATGAACTTGGAAATGGAACACGTGCAACAGCTCTACAAGCTCCAACAATGTGACGTTTCTGAATAAAATGGAATTCGTAACACAAGTTCCTACGGGATCACTTAAGTGGTCATTGCATTATAAGTGTAAAATATTATTTCACTGTAGAGTTTCAAACCTGCACTCTTCACATGGAGTTTGACGGGGAATGAAAAATAATCACAGCGTTTTGAAAACTATATCAAAATCTAAATCCAGACTTGTTGTATTTGATTAATTACGTTATTTTAAAACTCTGTTTAAATACTTTCTCTTGACCTAATGACGCTCCATTAATAGGACACCAACAGCAGTGACTGGCAGTTAGTTTCTGCATTATGGTGCATGCCGAGAGCGAAAGTGGTGACTCTGTTTCTGCTGCTCAGTGGTCTGTCATGTTTGCAACATATCTCATGAGCCAGTGGGCGGATTTCAATGGAACACTTGGACGTAGATTTACGACAACGTTTGCAGCCAAACCTTTTCAATATGGCCACACCACATATGCTCACATACGACTGTGCAGCTACCCATCCAGGCTGTCGCATTGTAAAGTTTGCAGATGATACAGCGGTGGTGGGATGCATCACAAACAATGATGAGTCCAGCTACAGGCAAGAGGTGGAACACCTGGAGAGCTGGTGCAAAGAGAATAACCTTCACATCAATGTGAAGAAGACAAAATAAATGATTGTGGACTTCAGAAGGAACAAACTCACCTAAACCCCCCTGAACATAAGA